GCACACTCGTGGAGGCAAACCAAAAAACGCAGTGTGTTAAGGAATCATTAACTAATAGATTGCTTTAGCCTCAAAGTAAACAATTGCTTGTGTGGCCTTAAATTTCTGCGCTACAGTGTAGAAGCCTCCCCGTGGCTCACACAAAATGCAAGTTATAAGAAATCTCAAATAGTTTGAAATTTGTAAACTGAGATTAAAAACATAAGCAGAAGAATTTAAAAAAAAACAATAAGTAGAGTATACAAAAATACCTGTAAAGTATGAAAACGATGCTTTAATTAACTATGGGATTGAGCCCATCGCCTAAGAAATACCACCGTGTTTCAAAAGGCTATGGCCTCACCCTGAACTGTTAAGCCTAAAAAAAGTAAAGAAAAATAGAGCAACACACAAAAAGTACTACTTGTGTGTGCAAAAGGCAGAATACGTACTCCTGCTGAGTAAAAACTTGAAGAAAATAAATTAATTAGAAGAGGGATTATTAGATTTATAAAGTTACCACGGGGAGCTCAAACGAAGCGCGTCCTCTCTCTCTCCACTCTCTCACTCTCTCTCTCCACTCTCTCACTCTCTCTCACTCACTCTCTCACTCTCTCTCACACACACACACTCTCACTCTCTCACACACACACTCTCACTCTCTCTCTCACACACACACTCTCTCTCACTCTCACTCACTCTCCCACTATCTCTCTCACACACACACTCTCACTCTCTCACTCTCTCTCTCACTCTCTCACTCTCTCACTCACTCTCTCTCACACACACTCTCTCTCACTCACTCTCACTCACTCTCTCACTCTCACTCACTCTCACTCACTCTCTCACTATCTCTCACACACACACTCTCACTCTCTCTCTCACTCTCTCACTCTCTCTCTCACTCTCTCACTCACTCTCTCTCTCTTTCTCTCACTCTCTCTCTCTCTCACTCTTTCACTCTCTCACTCTCTCACTCACTCTCTCACTCTCACTCTCTCTCTCACTCTCTCTCTCACTCTCTCACTCACTCACTCTCTCTCACTCACTCTCACTCTCTCTCACTCACTCTCTCTCTCACTCTCTCACTCTCTCTCACTCTCTCACTCTCCCATCGTTCCTTGCACGCACGCGCGTCACGTGACCGCCACATAGTACGGAACGACGTTTAACGCAGCGGGCTCAATTTAGCACTTTCGAATTCTGATGATGTACGGGGCCACACGGGAGGGCGTGTGGACGACGGGGCGAGCGACGGGGTGGGTGACGAGGTGGGTGACGGGGTGGGTGACGGGGTGGGCGACGGGGTGGGCGACGGGGTGGGTGACGAGGTGGGTGACGAGGTGGGTGACGAGGTGGGTGACGGGGTGGGTGACGAGGTGGGTGACGGGGTGGACAACGAGGTGGGTGACGGGGTGGGTGACGGGGTGGACGACGAGGTGGGTGACGGGGTGGGTGACGGGGTGGGTGACGAGGTGGGTGACGAGGTGGGTGACGAGGTGGGTGACGGGGTGGGTGACGGGGTGGACGACAGGGTGGGTGACGGGGTGGGTGACGGGGTGGGTGACGAGGTGGGTGACGAGGTGGGTGACGGGGTGGGTGACGAGGCGAGTGACGAGGCGAGTGACGGGGCATCTGAGACGTCCCTGAGCGGTGTTGCCGCGCGAGACGCTCCCCCGTCCGAGTTTGCGAGCGCACGTTAGCTGCGGTCAGGACGCGTCATTAATTACATCTACCCCCCCCCACCCCCCACTTCCAGGGGAGTGGCGGGCGGGGAGGGGGGGGGCAGGGAAGGGCGTTAGGTATAGCGGCACAAGAAAGGAAAATAATTAAGAAATAACGGCCTCATTGACACGCATCGATGGGCCACCATCAGCGCGCTGGAAATGGCCAGCGGAGAGAATGACGACAAAGACAAAGGCGCCCCGCGTAGCCTTGACCGGGCTGCTCGGGGCAAGTGCCGCCCGCGGAGCCGCCCCACGCAAGCCGGCACGGGGCGGGCGGGCTGGCCAACAGCCACGCCCGGCCGCCTTTGTATCCCCGGTGGCTGACAGTTCTTACACGTTTTAAAGGGACCGAGCGTACACCTAGGGGAGGGGGCGGCGGGATGGGTTGGGGCGATCGCGGCCGCCGCTGCCGCCGAGCTGGAATCCAACCCCGCTCCATAACCACGCGCGCACGAGAACACGAGTGGGCACGTGGATGCGCGAACGTGCCACCACCTCCGCCGGCGGGTGTCCCAAGGGCGAGTGCAGTTTGCAAGCGCCTATTAAGGCTACGCCTCGTTCTCGTGTCTCACAAACCGCCCGCACGCCCGCCCGCCCGCCCGCCTCCAACTGGTCCGGCACTCTCTCCCCTCACCCTTCATCTCCTCCTTTCCCTCTGTCCCTCTCTCAATTTCCCCTCTCTCTCCCTCCCTCTCTCTCTCTCTTTTTTGACGATCAGAGCAGGCAAGAAGATGCCCGGTGCAGTCGGCACTTTGCTTCGTTCATCATTTCGGGGTTTTTTTTTCAACGCTTTGCTTTACGTGTGCCCCCCAACCCCCCCCCCCCCACCCCCCCTTTTTTAAATGAAAGATTTCACAAAAGATTTCACGCTCTTCTCTCCTCCTTCTCTACCCCTTCCCTCTCTCTCTCTCTCTACCCCCCTCTCTGCCCCCCACCCCTCTCTCTCTCTACCCCCCTCTCTGCCTACTCCTCCTTCACCTCCCATCTTCCCTCTCTCTCACTCCCCCCCCCCTCCCCTTCCCCGCACGTGACTCTACCCCTGGCTCTAGACACTGTGTGCCCGTTCAAGCATAAAATTACCCCGTCAGACGCAGTACCTCCCCCACCAGCCTTTCAATTTCAACCTCCCCCACATCCCCCCCCCCCCTCCTCCCATACAGGCCCGCCCGCCCGCCCGCCCGCCAAGCCTCCAGCTCACATCGTAGACTCCACTAAATAACAGAACCTTTCCTTGCTCACAATACAAAATAAATAAAGTCTCCGGGTCCTGCCTCGCACACACACGTGGAAGTTGTGTGTGTGTGTGCGTGCGCGCGTGTGCACTTGTGTGTGCATTTGTCTGTGTGCGCGCGTGTGAGTGCATGTGAGAGAGGTCGTGTGTTGTACTTGCGTGTGCATCACATGCGCAAACACACGCACACACACACACACAAGCAAAAGCGCGCACACACACGCTTATATACACAACCGCTCACAAACACACACACACACTGGTACACACACACGCACACGCGCGCACACACTGGCACACACACACACGCTTATATACACAACCGCTCACAAACACACACACACTGGTACACACACACGCACACGCGCGCACACACTGGCACACACACACACGCTTATATACACAACCGCTCACAAACACACACACACTGGTACACACACACGCACACGCGCGCACACACTGGCACACACACACACACACACGCGAACACACGCGCCGCGTCAGTGTGCCCACGCGCACACATTCATCTCTGTCTGCGAACCAGTGAGTCATGAAAGACGCGCGCCACTCGACCTCACGCGCACACACACACACACACAAGACAAAAGGTCCCCCGTATAGCCTCGACAGACTGTCGGGGCAAGTGCTGTGAGCGAGTAGCGAGCGCCCAAGAAGGCCGGCACTGTGGCACACGAGGGGGGTGGGTGGCCAGCACCACGCCCGGCCGCCTTTGTCTTCCCCAGTGGCGATGTTTGCTACACGCTGAACCGGGTACTCGTTTGAGAGGCCGAGTCGACCTAGGGGAGGGCCCGTGAACCGGGTCAGACAATAATCGGGCTCACGTGGGCGGGCAGTAAGAGGCTACGGAGGGGTCGGGGTGTGAGTCGTGATGGCCGTGTCGAACAATGGCTCAGCACCGTAGGTCCTGGGTTCGAGCCCCTGGGTCTGGGTGTCTCCCCCACCACTCTCTCTCTTTCTCCCTCTCTCTCCCAGCGGGTTCCTAATGGCCGTGTCAGAGACACTTAATCCCGTTAACTCCCTAGATCATCCGTTCAAGCCCTGGGTGTTTTGAGGCTCTGTCAGGAGGTTCATTAATTGTTGAGATCGTCAGTTCTAAGCAGGATCTGGGTCTCCCTCTCTCTCTCTCGAAGTTAATAATGGCCGTGCATGGATGCGATGCTCGTAGTGCGGAGATCCTGGAGGCAAGCCTTGGGTTTGTGTGTCCGCGTGTGTGTCTGTGTGTGTCTGTGTGTGTGTCTGTGCGTGTGTGTGCGTGTCTGTGTGTGTGTCCGTGTGTGTGTCTGTGTGTGTGTCTGTGTGTGTGTGTCTGTAGTGTAGCGGTTAGCGCTACGCTGCGCAACAAACCTGGCGACACGGGTTCGATTCCCGCTCACGGCCAACACCCAGTGACGATTATCTGAACCGGTCCCGGGCCTCCCCTAGGTCGACTCAGCCTCTTAAATGAACACCTGGTGCGGTGTGTAAACATCGCCACTAGGGAGACAAAGGCGGCCGGGCGCGGTGTTGGCCACCCACCCCCTTCGTGTGCCGTGCCGGGCCTTCATAGGTGCTCGCTAACAGCACTTGCCCCAACAGTCCGTTAAGGCTACACAGGGGTCTTTGTCTGTGTCTGTGTGTGTCACTCTCTCTGGGGTTCACAATGGCCATGTCGGATAGACGGACGGACGGATGGAGAGAGACAAACGGACAGAGGGACAGAGGGACGGACGAATAGAGAGAGAGAGAAGGATGGATGGACGGACGGAGCTAACGCCTGAGCTTGGTGAGTGCGGAGTGCATGAGCACTGCCGTACCGGCGATCGTTCCCGGCGCAGGACAATCACACCGGCGCTCACGGCGATCGTTCCCGGCGTAGGACAATCACACCGGCGCTCACGGCGATCGTTCCCGGCGTAGGACAATCACACCGGCGCTCACGGCGATCGTTCCGGCGCTCACGGCGCTCACGGCACTCACGGCACTCACGGCACTCACGGTGATTGTACCGGCACTCACGGCACTCACGGCACTCACGGCACTCAGGCCACTCACGGCGATCGTACCGGCGCTCACGGCGATCGGCTCCTCCAGCAGGAAGACGGTTTGCTTCCAGTGCGTGCCGGGGCAGCCAGGGGCTGTGGAGAACATGACCTGGCGACACCGTGAGAGACGCACACACACGCAGACACACACGCAAGCGCAGGCACAAACACACGCACGCACACACACACGCACGCACACACGCACACATGCACACACAAACACACGCACACACACGGACAAACACGTACGCACACACACACACACACACGCACACACGCACGCACACATGCACAAACACACGCAGCAGACACGCTCAGGGTCCTTTATTCGATTTGGAGAAATCCGAAGAGCTACGAAGCTTTTTATCAGACAAATGTCCAGTGGGGGGGGGGGGGGGGGGGGGGCGACAAACGCTACAAACAACGTGAAGAATCAGTGGCATCTACAGAACGTGAAGAACCAGTGGCATCTACATCTACAGAACGTGAAGAACCAGTGGCATCTACATCTGTAGAACGTGAAGAACCAGTGGCATCTACAGAACGTGAAGAACCAGTGGCATCTACATCTACAGAACATGAAGAACCAGTGGCATCTACATCTGCAGAACGTGAAGAACCAGTGGCATCTACATCTGCAGAACGTGAGGAACCAGTGGCATCTACATCTGTAGAACGTGAAGAACCAGTGGCATCTACATCTACAGAACGTGAAAAACCAGTGGCATCTACATCTACAGAATGTGAAGAACCAGTGGCATCTACATCTGCAGAACGTGAAGAACCAGTGGCATCTACATCTGCAGAACGTGAAGAACCAGTGGCATCTACATCTGCAGAACGTGAAGAACCAGTGGCATCTACATCTGCAGAACGTGAAGAACCAGTGGCATCTACATCTACAGAACGTGAAGAACCAGTGGCATCTACATCTGTAGAACGTGAAGAACCAGTGGCATCTACAGAACGTGAAGAACCAGTGGCATCTACATCTACAGAACAAGAAGAACCAGTGGCATCTACATCTGCAGAACGTGAAGAACCAGTGGCATCTACATCTGCAGAACGTGAAGAACCAGTGGCATCTACATCTGTAGAACGTGAAAAACCAGTGGCATCTACATCTACAGAACATGAAGAACCAGTGGCATCTACATCTGCAGAACGTGAAGAACCAGTGGCATCTACATCTACAGAATGTGAAGAACCAGTGGCATCTACATCTGCAGAACGTGAAGAACCAGTGGCATCTACATCTGCAGAACGTGAAGAACCAGTGGCATCTACATCTGCAGAACGTGAAGAACCAGTGGCATCTACATCTGCAGAACGTGAAGAACCAGTGACATCTACATCTGCAGAACGTGAAGAACCAGTGGCATCTACATCTGCAGAACGTGAAGAACCAGTGGCATCTACATCTGCAGAACGTGAAGAACCAGTGGCATCTACATCTGCAGAACGTGAAGAACCAGTGGCATCTACATCTGCAGAACGTGAAGAACCAGTGGCATCTACATCTGCAGAACGTGAAGAACCAGTGGCATCTACATCTGCAGAACGTGAAGAACCAGTGGCATCTACATCTGCAGAACGTGAAGAACCAGTGGCATCTACATCTGCAGAACGTGAAGAACCAGTGGCATCTACATCTGCAGAACGTGAAGAACCAGTGGCATCTACAGAACATGAAGAACCAGTGGCATCTACATCTGCAGAACGTGAAGAACCAGTGGCATCTACATCTGCAGAACGTGAAGAACCAGTGGCATCTACATCTGCAGAACGTGAAGAACCAGTGGCATCTACATCTACAGAACGTGAAGAACCAGTGGCATCTACATCTGCAGAACGTGAAGAACCAGTGGCATCTACATCTGCAGAACGTGAAGAACCAGTGGCGTCTACATCTGTAGAACATGAAGAACCAGTGGCATCTACATCTGTAGAACATGAAGAACCAGTGGCATCTACATCTGCAGAACGTGAAGAACCAGTGGCATCTACAGAACGTGAAGAACCAGTGGCATCTACATCTGCAGAACGTGAAGAACCAGTGGCATCTACATCTGTAGAACATCAAGAACCAGTGGCATCTACATCTGCAGAACATGAAGAACCAGTGGCATCTACATCTGCAGAACGTGAAGAACCAGTGGCATCTACATCTACAGAACGTGAAGAACCAGTGGCATCTACATCTGTAGAACGTGAAGAACCAGTGGCATCTACATCTACAGAACGTGAAGAACCAGTGGCATCTACATCTGCAGAACGTGAAGAACCAGTGGCATCTACATCTGCAGAACGTGAAGAACCAGTGGCATCTACATCTGCAGAATGTGAAGAACCAGTGGCATCTACATCTGTAGAACGTGAAGAACCAGTGGCATCTACATCTACAGAACGTGAAGAACCAATGGCATCTACATCTACAGAACGTGAAGAACCAGTGGCGTCTATATCTGTAGAATATGACGAACCAGTGGCATCTACAGAACGTGAAGAACCAGTGGCATCTACATCTACAGAACATGAAGAAACAGTGGCATCTACATCTGCAGAACATGAAAAACCAGTGGCATCTACATCTACAGAACATGAAGAACCAGTGGCATCTACATCTGCAGAACGTGAAGAACCAGTGGTATCTACATCTGCAGAACGTGAAGAACCAGTGGCATCTACATCTGCAGAACGTGAAGAACCAGTGGCATCTACATCTACAGGAGATTATACAACATCTAAAGATGTACACACATACTCGCGCCACTTTCCCCTTCTAATGGTTGCTACAACGCCTATAATCCATCTCTGTGGAGGTAGCAGCAGCAGCGAGGGTTAGTGGATCACACACAGATGGGCTGTTGCCATCTGTACGGGGGATCGAGCGTTGCTCCCTCCCTCGCGTGAGACGTGGGGGTTTTCTCCGGGTGTATCTGGTTTTCTCCTCTTCCCACATTAATAATAATCATCATAATAAACACGACCCGTCATTCATTTGGGGTTTAAAACATCTTGAAAATGAACACCCCAACGTAGTGGCAGGACCCTCCTGAAAACGAGTGCTAAGACTCAACTTGCCTCTCCTGGATAACTACCTCGCCTGGTATACAGGAGGTCGTGGGTTCGATCCCGGCCCTGACGCCTGCTGCTGTATATTTGGAGTTTGCCTCTCTCATCATGATGACGGTGGCTAGGAGATGTTAACTACCTCGCCTGGTATGCAGGAGGTCGTGGGTTCAATACCGACCCTGACGCCTGCTGTATATTTGGAGTTTGCGTCTCCCATCATCAGCACGGTGGCTAGGAGATGTTAACTACCTCGCCTGGTGTACAGGAGGTCGTGGGTTCGATCCCGACCCTGACGCCTGCTGTATATTTGGAGTTTGCCTCTCTCATCATCATCACGGTGGCTAGGAGATGTTAACTACCTCGCCTGGTATACAGGAGGTCGTGGGTTCAATACCAACCCCTGACGCCTGCTGTGCGGTGCCTCTCTCCTGGTCGCGTGGATTTTTCTCCGGGTCCTCCGGTTTTTCCTCCTCCACATTTAGAATCAACGTCACCACGCGTTGAGAGTCTTTGGCTGCTGCTATCAATGTCCACGTGATGATGACGACAAGCCACTTCGTTGAGCTATCATTTGTGGCCAGGTCACTTCTGAAAAAGAGCCACACGGCTCAGTGGGGCCTTACCTGGTAAAATAAAAATTAGTTCAGTCCATACGTAAATTATAATTGTTAACACGGCATGCGTGTGTGCCATGTGCAACGGTGTGAATAATTCTGTCTGTCTCTCTCTGTATAACTGCCTCTCTGTGTCTGTATAAGTCTCTGTGTGTGTCTCTATAAGTCTCTGTGTGTGTCTGTATAACTGCTGGCACAGTAGGGGGCACATGTGGTGCATCAGACAGTCATCACAGTCGGTCAACCCGTGGCACCTGGGTCTGTCCCGTGACCTCCTGCCAGCGGGTGTTCGACACTTCACGTGGCATTAAAGTGCACCTAGCCTGGCACAAGCGCCGTGGTGACGTCACTGCCACTTAGTGGTGAATAGCGGTCGTTGTTGCTGTGTGCATGTGAGTGGGGAGGCGGTGGTGTAGCGGCTAACGCGCTGCGCTACGAACCCGGCGACCCGAGTTCGATCCACGGCCACAAACACCGGTGACGGTTATCTGAACCGGTCCTGGGCCCTCCCCTAGGTCGACTCAGCGTCAAACGAGCACCTGGTGTGGTGTGTAGTAAACATCGCCACTGGGGAGAGACAAAGGCAGCCGGCCTTCATTGGCGCCGGCCTTGTTCCTCGCCACTAACAGCGCTTGGCCCCCCCGGCCCTGCCGAGGCTATCCGGGGGGTGATCTTTGTCCGCGTGTGCGATGTGTGCCGTGGTGACGTCACTGGACTCACTTTCTCGGTGCAGTCCTTGCTGAAGTAAACATCGAAGTAGCCCACAAGGCCCTGCAACAAACACAACATCTCGGGGTCACGGCAGTTCAATGCACACTCGGGGGGGGGGGGGGGGTGGGTAGTGGGATTTCAAGTCGTTGGGAGTGCGTCTGTTCGTGTGTATGTTGAAATTCTTTCGCACAGTACGAAGCCGACCGTGATAATCAGAGTTGCGGAGGAAGGACAACAAACTATGGGTCCCTGTGTGAGTCTATGGGTCTCTGTGAGCCTATTGGTCTCTGTGTGAGTCTATGGGTCTCGGTGTGAGTCTATGGGCCTCTGTGTGAGTCTATGGGTCTCTGTGTGAGTCTATGGGTCCCTGTGTGAGTCTATGGGTCTCTGTGAGCCTATTGGTCTCTGTGTGAGTCTATGGGTCTCGGTGTGAGTCTATGGGCCTCTGTGTGAGTCTATGGGTCTCTGTGTGAGTCTATGGGTCTCTGTGTGAGTCGATGGGTCTCTGTGTGAGTCTATGGGTCTCTGTGTGAGTCGATGGGTCTCTGTGTGAGTCTATGGACCTCTGTGTGAGTCTATGGGCCTCTGTGTGAGTCTATGGGTCTCTGTGTGAGTCTATGGGTCTCTGTGTGAGCCTATTGGTCACTGTGTGAGTCTATGGGTCACTGTGTGAGCCTATGGGTCTCTGTGTGAGCCTATTGGTCTCTGTGTGAGCCTATTGGTCACTGTGTGAGTCTATGGGTAACTGTGTTGAGTCTATGTGTCTCTGTGTGATTCTATGTGTCTCTGTGTGATTCTATGGGTCTCTGTGTGAGCCTATTGGTCTCTGTGTGAGCCTATGGGTCAATGTGTGAGTCTATGGATATATGCTGAACTTCTTTCGCACCATACGGAGCCGACCGTGCTAATCGGAGGAGCGTAGCTGCGTTCGGTTTTAAATAATGAAACGGTAAAATAAAATAAAAGTATTTAAAATAATCCACTGGTGTTGGTCCCAAGAGGATAGAGACGCTGAGAGCCTGGGTTCCATTCCGTGTTCCAGCCGCCCAGCTGTGACTAAACCAGGTTCTCAGATGCGGTGAGTAGATGGTCCTCAGCCTGGTCACCGATGATCCAAAGAGAGAATCATCGGTGACACACGCACGAAGACAGACACTATGACCGCCCCCCCCCCCCCCCCCCCGTATAGCCTCAACAGACTGTTGGGGCAAGCGCTGTTTGTGAGAACCTATCAAGGCCGGCACGGCACATGAGGGGGGTGGGTGGCCAGCACCACGCCCGGCCTCCTTTGTCTCCCCCAGCGGCGATGTTCACACACCGCACCAGGTACTTATTTGAGGTTGAGTCGTCCTTCGGAGAGGGCCCAGGACTGGTTCAAATATTCGCCACGGTTATTGGTCGTGAGCGGGAATCGAACCCTGGTCGCCTTGTGTCGTATCGCGCAGCGCGCTCACCGCTACTACACTACCGCTCCCCACAACACGCAAAGACAATGGCAACAATCCCCCCCGTGTAGCCTCAAAAGACCGTTGGGGCAAGTGTTGTGAGCGAGTAGCAGCATCCTATGAAGGCCGACACCCACACACCCCCCCACACACATACACCTACACCCCACACCTACACACTCTACACCCCACCACACCTACACACCCCCCACACCTACACACTCTACACCCCACCACACCTACACACCCCACACCCCCCACTCCTACACACCCCACAACCCCCACACCCCACACCCCCCACACTTACACACCCCACACACCCCATGCACCTACACACCCCCCACACCTACACACCTACACACCCCCCACACCTACACACCTACACACCCCCCACACCTACACACCTACACACCCCCCACACTTACACACCCCATGCACCTACACACCCCCCCACACCTACACACCCCACACACCCCATGCAACTACACACCCCCCACACCTACACACCCCACAACCGCCACACCCCCCACACCTACACACCCACAACCCCCACACCCACACCCCCCACACTTACACACCCCACACACCGCATGCCCCTACACACCCCCCACACCTACACACCTACACACTCTCCTACACCCCCCAAACACCTCCACACCTCTCAGACCCCACTCCTACACCCCCCACACCTACACACCCCACACCTACACACACTCCACACCCCCCACACCTACACACCCCACACCTACACACTCTCCTACACACCCCACACCTACACACCCCACACCTACACACCCCACACACCTCCACACCCCACACACACACACGGAGGTCACCCAGGGGTCAGATTCAGGTAGGAGCCGAGTCGCTCCACATTCCGCACGCATTTCTCGGAATCGATTTTTCCGCCAACACCCAGGTCCCCCCAGTCCCCACCCCCGCTCACCGCCCCCCAAATAGCACAACTTATTTATTTATTTACGTACACGGTGGGGGGGGGGGGGCGGGAGGGGGGGCGAGACGGATTAACGGTGGAGCACGGTCGTTCGGCCATCTCTCAAAACGAACCCAGCGGGAAATCGTTCACCCGCTCGCGCGCCCATCATCGCCCACGCGCCTCTCGCCATTCTACTAGGTAAGGCCCCACTGACCTCTTTTACAGAAGCTCGCCAAAGTGGCCTTATCATCGTCGTCGTCGTCACGTGGAAGACGACGACGATGATAGGGAACTGATAAGGAACTGGAGATAACATCCACGTGACCACGGGGAGAGAGAGAGAGAGAGAGACGCAAACTACAAATGTACAGCAGCAGGCATCAGGGTCGGGATCGAACCCACGACCTCCTGTATACCTAGCGAGGTGGTTAACATCTCCTAGCCACCGTGGCGCCCTTATTGATGGGAACCCAACCCGAACAGTCCACCCACACCGAGAGGGGTATACGCGAGAACCGAATGCGCAACGAGCCAAAGTATCGTACGTTCTCAAGGCATGAGGCCTACTGCAGGGGAAGGATGGAACCGACATCCCGGCACTACGGAGGTGGCGATCGGGGGGGAGTGGGGGGAAGGGGGGAGACAATTGTAATCCAACAAAATCGAAAAATCAAGTAACATATGAAACTTAATTCCCGGGAGCAACGGCCAAAATTGTGCGTTCGTGGGAATGCCGTCGCGTCCGAGTGGGGGAAAAAAGGAAGTACAAAACAGGATTAACGCTGGAAGCTCGCACGCGGGGCGAATACAAACGGCGGCGAGGAGGCGCTCCCCGTTGGCTATTTTATTCTGGACCACCAGGAGTTGGCAAGGGAGGCCGCAAAATTGACGTAAGAGCGAGCGAGCGAGCGAGCGCTCGTAGAGACATGAGCGAGAGAGTCGGTACGGACGCGAGCGAGGCGGCGAGCCACCGCTCGTGAGCCAGGACGCGACTGAGGCAGCGAGCCACTGCTCGTGAGCGAGCGAGTTGGCGAGCCACCGCTCGTGAGCGAGTGAGGCAGCGAGCCACTCCTCACGAGCGAGTTGGCGAGCCACCGCTCGTGAGCGAGCGAGCGAGTTGGCGAGCCACCGCTCGTGAGCGAGTGAGGCAGCGAGCCACTCCTCACGAGCGAGTTGGCGAGCCACCGCTCGTGAGCGAGCGAGCGAGTTGGCGAGCCACCGCTCGTGAGCGAGTGAGGCAGCGAGCCACTCCTCACGAGCGAGTTGGCGAGCCACCGCTCGTGAGCGAGCGAGCGAGTTGGCGAGCCACCGCTCGTGAGCGAGTGAGGCAGCGAGCCACTCCTCGCGAGCGAGTTGGCGAGCCACCGCTCGTGAGCGAGCGAGCGAGTTGGCGAGCCACCGCTCGTGAGCGAGTGAGGCAGCGAGCCACTGCTCGTGAGTCAGTACGCGACTGAGGCAGTGAGCCACTGCTCCGTGAGCGAGTGAGCGAGCAGGCGAGCGGAGGTAGCGACATGAAGCGTAATCACGGACCCCCGGGGGGGGTGAAGTGACCCGGAACGGCGCTCGCAGGGACCCCATCGTGACGGGACGCTCCCCTGACGGGACGTTACTTAAAGCGAAATTGAACCCTAATTGACCGACAGGGAGACGGAGGAGGAGGGGGGGGGGAGAGGATCAATCGCTAAGCCTCGAGGAATCAATCAAAGAAACGGCTGTGACGAACCTCCCCTTGTTTATCCGCTACGATGCTGACATGTTATATACGTTAAAATAAAAATATTCCGCGTCCCTGCATTTCGACCGCCATCGTGAACCGACTTCGTATTTGTAAGCGAAATAATCCATGTTTTTTTGGGTTTAGTTTAGAGACAAGTGAACAATGTTAGGCAGACAGGCTGGTCTCTGATGGGGTCTCTAGACAATTCTAGACAGACTGGTCTCTGATGGGGTCTCTAGACAATTCTAGACAGACTGGTCTCTGATGGGGTACCTAGACAAAGACAGACTGGTCTCTGATGGAGTCTCTAGACAATGTTAGACAGACAGACTGGTCTCTGATGGGTCTCTAGACAAAGACAGACAGACTGGTCTCTGATGAGTCTCTAGACAAAGACAGACAGACTGGTCTCTGATGGGATCTCAACACAGTGACAGACTGGTCTCTGATGGGTCTCTAGACAAAGACAGACAGACAGACTGGTCTCTGATGGGATCTCTTAGACAAAGACAGACAGACTGGTCTCTAATGGAGTCTCTAGACAAAGATAGACAGACTGGTCTCTGACGGAGTCTCGAGACAGTGACAGACAGACTGGTCTCTGATGGGTCTCTAGACAGTGACATACAGAGTGGTCTCTGATGGGTCTCTAGACAATTCTAGACAGACAGACTGGTCTCTGATGGGTCTCTAGACAAAGACAGACAGACAGAGTGGTCTCTGATGGGTCTCTAGACAGTGACAGACAGACAGACTGGTCTCTGATGGGTCTCTAGACAGTGACAGACAGACTGGTCTCTGATGGGTCTCTAGACAAAGACAGACAGACAGACTGGTCTCTGATGGGTCTCTAGACAAAGACAGACAGACTGGTCTCTGATGGAGTCTCTAGACAAAGACAGACAGACAGACTGGTCTCTGATGGGTCTCTAGACAGTGACAGACAGACTGGTCTCTGATG